TCCCCCAGCCAGCCATGCTGGCTGGGGGATTCTGGGAGTTGGAGTCCACCCACCTTTGTGTTTTCAAGGCTGAGAAACACTGCTTTGAGGTAAGAAATTCTTTGGCCACAGCAGCTGGGAATTCTGGGAACCAACTCTAATTCTTTTGTAATTCATGTTTGGAGAATGCCCATTTGGGAAAGGTGCCCTCAGATGATCCCAACACAAATAATATTTGTGCATCATGCAAATGCTCACACCTTTGTTCCTGGGCTTTGCATTTGCGTACTTTTCATGGTTAATCATGTTAATGTCCTTCCAACAATGCTGATGTTGGCGGTTTTTATGCTGAATAAAGGGATTCAGAGGTGCGCAAAGGATTAGAGTAGCTGGTATGTTGGCTGTCCCATGAAGGCCGCGACAGGAATTTCTTAGAATCAATCTTTGCAGTGGGTTTTGGATGGAAGAGCCGGCAATGGCTGAAAAGGGAAAGCTACTGGGGAACTAGGCTAGTTAACTCAATTTCCCCCAACCCTTCAGAGCTTCAGTTTAGCTACACTCACACAATCCACCTCATTACGTCAGTCGTAAACCTGAACTCTACACCTTTGCAAAAATAAAAACAAAAAACAAAACCAAGCTGGGTAAAAGTTAACTTTTCTGGCTGTGCAAAGCCAATCCCTGTGGTTTGTTTACAGTTCAACATAGGGTGCAAATCTAGAAAATGGGTCAACCCAGTAACCAGGTTCAGCAGGTTGTGCAAATGCAGCAATTGTACTCGCCATGGAAACACAACACCCAGCCTTATTATATTGTACTGGGCTGGAGGGAAAAATCAAATTATTTCTTTAATGTAATTGGCATCCCCCAGTATCATTACTGGTTTTATCCAGCAGCTTCCAAATGATGCAATTGTGAAGGTGTGGCACCCTGGATCTTTTTAATTTAATTTTTATTTTATCAGGTGGTTTTTTCCCAAACTGCTCCAGTAGTTAGAACTAGCCTGGAGGGGAGAACGTTCTTGGTGTTGGTGGCAAAATGCTTTGGGTAATGGAAAATCATGACTCAGTTGGCAAAGATGGAGAATCCCACCTCCGAATGACTCCCTTCCAGCACATGAGAACCAAAAGGGTGACCCACTTCCCCCTTCTGGCCACACACAGCTCAGAAAACAGCACGAGGTGTTACCTTCCTGGGACTACTAGATCAGGAGATGGGGGACAGAAGGGGTAGGGTGGAAATTACATTTTCTGAGTGCATTCCCATTTTTATTTATTTAGAAAATTTATATAGCTGCCCAACTCACACACAGTGACTCCGGGTGGCTTACAAAGTAAAATCCCCAGTACGGGAACCCGTGAACACCCACCCCCTACGATGGCCAAAAACACCATCAACACAACCGCTTGATCGGCTCCCTTTCAGCTTGGGGTCCCCAGGCCCGCTGGCAAAACCATGTCTTTAGGGCCTTCCGGAACATCATCAAGGTGGGGGCCAGTCTTAATTCAGAGGGAATTACATTCCACAGGGAGGGGGCCACCACAGAAAAGGCCCTTCTTCGTGGTCCCAACAGATGTACTTCCCACAATGATGGGACCCGCAACATACCCAGCTCCCTGCTCTGGTGGGCCAGGTAGATGAAACTGGGAAAAGGTGGTCTTGCAAATAACCAGGCCCCAAGCCATGTAGGGCTTTAAAGGTGATAACCAGCACCTTGAATTGGACCCAGAAGATCGGCAACCGAAGCAGCTTCTGCAAGAGGCGACGTGCACAAATCTGGACTTGCACAGAACTATGCAGGCCGCTGCATTTTGAACCAACTGAAGCTTCTGAATACTCTTCAAGGGCAGCCCCACGTAGAACGCGTTACAATAGTCCAAGTGGGAGTAACTAGGGCATGGGTGACTGAGAAGGGCATGTTGGTCCACATACCAAAGACAAATCCTTGCAGGGAGAAATGTAGAACACTGAGCGCTAAATCAGATTAAAACTCCTGTCCCTTGCACATTTGCTTCTTAACAGCAGACTGATTCCAGACATCAAGCGTCTGCCTTGGCATTATCCAGCAGCTATCCATATGCTGAGATTGAGTACCCAAGCCTAATGGCCTCTTCGCATTCATTGACCTCTCACCATCTTGGACACTTTCTTGAGGCCCCATGTTCCTGAACCTCCTTGGTCTTTCCACTTTTTGTCCCCTCAGTTTAATTCTAACTCCATGGCTGACACAGGACCATCTTGCTCCTCCTCCAACTTTCACTACCTTCTTCCTTCTCCAGGCACCTGGCTTCATCTCTTGAATCAAGTGGCTAGCAATGCCAAGGACTGGCCCAAATGATAGGAAGGGCAAGATCTGACTCCTGAGATGCTAGTTGACCAACTCAGTTGTAAAAATGGCAGCTGGTCAAGTGTGATCTTGGCTGTCAGAAAGCTAACATGAGCCAGGTAATTCTACCCTTCTCCCTCCCCACCACTAACTTCTATCCTGCCTTTCTAGCACTTAAGATGTTGACAGACCAGCAGGATCTCAAAGTCAATCAAAATGAAATAAACATGTATTATGGTGCTACCAAACCAGACTGCAAAGATCCAGACAACCTCTAGATCAGGGTTTCAAACTGTTTCGCAGCATCCAAGGATTCTGCAGGAATTTGATGGGGTTCTGAGAGAGCCTAAGGGGAAAAAAAAAGTTTACTTAAGGCCAATTTTCTATCATTAGGGCTTTCGGCTCTTGATCAGTTTCCACAACCTGCACTAGACAACAGTGAATATGTGTTTTTTCCATCTCTCAAAATGTTTGGCCAGGGACCATCCAATAAAATGGATTGGAAGATTGTGACAAAAGGCACTTCCAATAGAAGAGAATCTCTGTAGCTGAGGGTTGAACTGTGGAGTCCGTGGGGCTCTCTGAGCTTGGCTGTTCGCTTGCAGATGTTTCGTGACCCAACTAGGGGACATCATCAGTGCACTGATGTTACCTAGTTATGAAATGTCTACGAGCAAACAACCAAGCTCAGAGAGCCCCAAGGACTCCACAAAAGGCACTCCTTCACACAGCACTTCATTGACCTGAAGAATTCTTGGCTACAAGATGTGGCAATGGCCATTGACTCAGATGGCTTTCAAAGGGGACAGGAGAATTCCATGGACAATCTTTACTGTTCCAGCCACCACAGCCAGTGGGAATGCTGGCCAGGAATTCCAGACAGAGAGCTCATTTTCAAAAGAGCAAACTGGAGTTCCTAATCGTATCTCTCCAGTAAATGCCAAGATCTGAAATTTCTAGATAGGTCTTAGCAGGTAAAGAATTCCAGCTGTATTTAAAGTGGGAGTGAAATTGTTTTTTCAGAACACAGTGAAGGTGGCTACTGATGGACTCACTTCTGAAATATTCAGTTGCACGAGAAACTTTCAAAGCTCTATAGAAAGACGTTGGCCAACCAGCAATGCATGCACTGCACAACTCCCAACCACCACCCCTGTGAAAATATTAAGAGGAAAAAAGTGGCACTGGAAGACCATGTCTTTATTTAACTTTGCTTTTCCAGTATAAATTCCTTTAAAAAGAATTGGGGAAAATATAAGGGTTGCTTTCTTGAGAAAAGAAAGAAAAGGATGACAAACTCAGGGAGACCCAAGTTAAGTTTTCTTAACCTCTTCCAATAGAGGCTCCTTACACCCTATCCCAAAAAAACCCCAACCCATAATTATTCCCCAATCAAAGCTAGTCTCAGTTCCTGCCCTGATGTCAGGTATACAAAATAACAGCACCTCCAACTCTAGGAGGAGTAAAATGGAGTAACATTACAGATTGGTTCCTGCTACGAAGCTGACCCCACTCCAAAGCCCTGTATTATTATTGCCTGGATGTGTTCATTATAACATGAGCCACTATTAACCGGGAGGCTGATCAAACTGAAGCCAATGGCCACCCCAGGGCAATAGCCATTTTTTGCATCTGAACAGTTTGGGATGGAATCGGATTGTTCAGCAGTGCATTAAAATTGCTTGTCAGAAGCAAGGCTGGAATCACATTTTTTCAGGACTAAACTGCTATACAAAAAGGCCAATTAATTCTAAGAAGTCATCAGGAATTTTCAGAGAAAGTTTATTTGGAGGATTCCTTCCAGTAAACCAAATTTTGGGGGTGGCTGATAACTAGAGCTACCATATTTGGCTGCAAAAACCCAGATAACCACAAGATGGGAGAGAAGACTTATTTATGGGCCGCTTTATTGAGGGGCCATCTGAATTTCTGCAGCCTTAATGGCCACAAAAATACCGTCACTACTGCTAGAACTGAACGGTGCCTGTGTGAGTTTGTACAATACTTGCATGGTGTAGCATGGGAACAGCTGATCTGAACTCCTGCTCCTTTTCTCCTCCCATTATCTGAGATCAGCCTTATAATCCAGTGGAAAACAGTGAAAGTAACACTCCCCGCTCCTAGGAAAACTTGTCCCGGAGAAATGAAAATCAGGAGATGCGCCAGAGGGAGGTGAGATGATGAACCAAGGGGTGGTTGTGATTCTTGTCACCAATAGCTGAGAATGTCCAGACTGACATACTTATGACTGAGGCCTTTGCAGACCTTTACATTTAATCTCTCTGGAGCTGGGTCTTCCAAACCAGAAGTGCCTTCCTTCTTCTGTCTTCAATATCAACGGCTTCCTTTATAAGCAGACCCCACCCCAATAATAGTGAAAGACCATCAATTAATCAGGCATCCCATTATCCCAGCTTATGGGGGGGCTGCTATAATGCTCCCCTTGAAGAGGGTCCAAACCAAAGGAACTCTCTTTTGGGGTGGGGAACCAGGCCCACTACAGCACTGTAAGCATGCAGGGAAAGCACTGTAGATACTTCAGCTGAAATGTAGAGGACCGAGCAGGGCCTTCAACCACAAGGGTGTTCCTGGCCAATCCTGAAGGGTTTCTCATTACGGGGAATTCACTACCACCAGTGCACGTACAGATTGCAAAAGAGCAAGTCTCCGCTAATCCCCAGGGTTGTAATACTTTGGAGGCTTAATCAAGCTCTTCTGGATCCAATGCTGGCTGCAAGACCTGGCGGGAGAGAAGTGCTGAAGTGTTCAGCAGACAGAACCATTGAAGGAATCAAAAGTAAATTCATGGCCTTCTAGAAGAGCAAAGTGTCCCTCCCCAATCTCGACTGCAGCAGTCTTGACAACTATTCCCAGAGAACAGACAGGATATACTGGGCTGGGCAGCAGAGTTCCTTTATGAGAGCAGGCCACATGCTTCTGGCTGCAAGTTCTGTGGGACCATGAGGTCTATGTGGATCTTCTTGGAAGCACCTCTGTTGGCTTCCTCAGGCTCCCCTTTGGAGACCCCCTGCACAGGATGGACCTCTTCTTTGTCAGTGAGGGCAACTTGTAGCACCGAAGATCACCCCCTTCCCAACGGAGGCTCTTTCTTCCCGTTTCCAGGAACGGATTCCAAATCCACCACTGTGAAGGACAGACAGGAGTTCAATGACTGAATCGATGTGAGCCAAGAGGGAGCAGCCACTACACCTGGGGAGGACTTGCCTCAGGCGAGGCAGTTCAAAAGGTTTGCCTTAAAAATACAAAGGAGGGCACTTGACTTCTATTCCAAAGGCCACCATGTGGCTGGTCTGCGCAAGTCTTCAGCACCTGGTGTCCATCGAATTCCAGGATCAGAAGCTTTCCAAGTCCCACTTTCTGGATCCAGAGAGCAAACTTACATAGCAAGTACTGGGCCTCCAAGGTGGAGGTTTGCTCGGCAGAGACTTCTGCAAACGGTCAAGGGACTAGAGCTCATTTCTTCTGGAAGAAGCCCATGATGGAAGCCTGCTTGTTGGACTTGCCAGGGGCAACCCCTCCTTTCTTGGTGCCTCTCTTCTCCTCTTTGGGCTCCTTCTTCGCGGCCCCAGGAGGAGGCTTATGAGTTGCAACGGGGCTGGTCCGGAATTCCTCTTCACTCTCTGTACAGGACTCAGTCTCGTAGGCCTTTTCAGTCACTGGAAACAACACAGAACAGAAACGACATGTACGAGACCTCCAGTGCTCACTTCTTTGTTGGTCTCAAGAAGAGAACATCATATCAACCTACTATCTGTAGGCTGCCTTAGAACCCAGAGACTCCAAACTGCTATCCCAACCAATGCCCAATTCCCCAGGCCTCATTTTCTGCAGAACTGAATTCTTGGGCTACCAAACTTATTCTCTGAACCCTTCTGTGTACTAAGGAGTTCAGTTACACAATTCAGGATGTTACTGGAGGACCGGCCTGGTTCTGGACAGGAGCATCCTGTTAAAGAAACATGGAATAGGGAATCTGGGGAGTAGACTTCTAGGAATCCCATGTCAGGACAAGCTATCCCTGAACCTCCACTCCTTCTACAGGTAGCAGAGCTCCATCTCCTGGCTCCATACTTCCTTCCTGCAGTTCATTACTTGGTCCTTTACATGAAAATATGAAAAGGAGAATAACGGGACTCAAACTGATCTCAACT